AGACAATGAGGAACAATTCTTATGTTGACCAGAAATTCATTTGAAATCTCCTTGAGGGGTAAAAATAGCTTGGAAGTCAAGTCACTTTCACAGACAAAATTTCAGATACCTCAGATGACCTGTAACTTGCAAGGACCATAGCTTGAGTTCTATAAATCTCCTTAGTGCCTTCCACCACTCAAATTAAAGGTCTTGAGATCCTATACAAGTTTCATGTTGGCCAAGGATCCATTTGAAGCTTGCATTTTGACTTATCTTGCTTGGAAATTTGACCTAAATTAGGGGATTTTACACAGAAACCCTAATTTAGAAACTCCTCTTCTCCTTGATTTCTCTTGAATTCTTCTTAACACATTCCCCTGTCCTTATCTACATGTCAAATGATGAACCCCACATCTCTCCAATAGCCCTTAATGCCTTTCAATCAGTCAATTGACCTAGAGTTGACCCAGGGTTGACCCAGATGAAACCCTAGTTGACTGTCTTCATCCACAACTCTTGTGACTACACCAATGACTTGTCTCCTTCTCCAAATGACTTTATAAGTCCTCCAAGATGTCTAGATACTCTCCATGCTCCATTCACAGCTCACAACTTACTTATTGATCCCCAGATACCCTCAGTTAGGAGATAGATGAACTGCTTGATCCATTGACTTCTCAGCTTTCAAATTCTTTCTGATGACTTGAATGAGATTGAATCAGGATAATAACCTCTTGATAGGCCTCTAGAGATGAGAATAATGATTGGTCCCCTGTTGGATGACTTGCCATGCTATGCTATGCAGATGATCAGACTATGTACATGACTCTATATGCAAATGCTAATGATATTGAAACATAAACCAAGTGAAGAAAGGTTGGGCAAATTTTAGGGTGCAACAGTCGTACTCGACGGGATCCACGCTTGTTATCTATCTAAAGGGTGTGTTGAACTATCTACACTAAAGGCTTACGGACAAAGGAAAAAGAAAGAGAAAAAGGACTCGACAGAGCGTCGCTGCTCTGGGCCTACGTATTCCCTTGTGCAATGGGAAAGTCAGAGCAACGTAGTTCGGCTAACTATGGCTAAAAGGGGGGAAGGTTGCTCGCTAAGACATCGCGTCTTATGCCTACGTATCCTCTTCTGGTACGAGAAATCAGAGCAAACATAGTTCGGGCTGACACGACCATAGGTTGGTTCAAGTGTTTTAACCGAGTAAGGTTAACAGACAGTTCTAGCAGTTTGGTGTATGCAACTCGACCTTTGGAGACTTAGGCGTTACCGTTTGCGGTAGAACTAAGAGTTAACAACACTCTTGTTTATGAAAAGGTTTTCCTGAATTAAGGGTCCCAAAGGGACAAAAAAGATTTGAAGTTTGTTTGAAGTCTTTTAGAGAAGAAGTGTTTTTTAGCTTTTCGTTGGCAACTCGTGTTGCACTAAAGACTTGTGACTTGGGAACGAATGCGTCACATAGCATCCTACAGATGTACATTAAACACTCTAGGTAATTGAGAGGTAACCACTCAATCACCATTCCCCAAGTAGCTTAAGGCTCGTAGCGTACAACACTTGTTATTCTTTATTATGTGTCTTGAAGAAGTTTTGATATGAGAAGAGAAGACACAAACTCTAAGGGGAAACTACTCAACCTTAATGTTATCATGCAATATGCTCCTAAAGTTGGGTTTGAAAGGGAATCTATCCTATTGTTATCATGCATGGTTTAAGTCCTAATGTCTATCATAATCATCCTTAAACAAGGAGATTAGAGATCCTAAGGGAACATGGCCAAAGAAGGAAAAGAGGAAGGAAAACATGTGAATGCAAAGATGCAAACATAAAATGCACAAACAGAATGAAAGTGAGGGAGGAAAATAGTGTGGGGCAGTAGCCTCCACAAGCACATCTCGACCTCAAGCGTGCACATGAAAATGCAAGGAGATACATTGAAACAAGCGTACAAGGGTGACAGGATGTGGGATGAAATGGCCTAAACCATTTGGACATCAACCACAAAGTCACAAACTGAAGTCAAAAGAAAATGCCAAAAATAAACCTGAGCCAAAGTGAGGATGGGAGGCTATACGAGAACAACAAGGTACTCATAACATGCACTCGACCATAAGCATCACCAACATTGGGTAAAAGAAAATAGGCACGACACGAAGGAAGGTCCTCAAGGATTCATCACTTTAGGCAAGCTTCAGGTTCCTCCTAAGGAGGGACCAAACCACCTTAAATGACACTCCAAGGTCATAGGACAACAGGGAATATGGGAAAAGTGTGCCTAAGCACAACAACAAAGCAAATAAAGAAAACAAGAATACACTACTTTGAACGACAACACATAAGTGTGCACCTGAACGGAAACCGACGAGCACGTGTCGATCAAATCATGATTAAACAATCAAAACCAGTGACATATATCCAAAATATTTCACTCCTAATGCATCATAACGGTCCATGAAGGTTCGAAGTGAAACGATACCAAAACAATCATGAAAAACAGCAAAACAGGACCACTGTTACAGTGTTAATCGATTAACGCCAGGGGTTAATCGATTAATCATTGAAAAATGCTTGAAAATTTGAAAGTTTGTCACTACGAGAAAATTAGAGTTTTACGACACAAAAATTGCGACAGTTACTTGATAACTGTCGTAACTCTAATATAGAGACGCGTTTCGCGACAGTATACACCTACCATCCTTATATTTTTAAAAGATTATTAAATATTACGACTGTTATCATTAAGCCGTCCTACAAATAAATTCATGACTGTCTCAATTGCCGCCCTAAATTTTATGTCCCGACGGTAGAACAACTGTCGCCCCTTAAACCCAGTAACACAAACTATAACCAATGACGAATCTAAATAAGTCTATGTATTTTAAATAAATAAATAACTAAAATCATTTATAAAATATAATTATAGTAATAAATTAAACTTAAAACACATAAAAATGAAAATATTATATATACTCAAAATAAAACTTTAATTTTAAAAACAATTTTTATAATAAAAATTAAATTCAAAATATTATATCCAAAATTAAAATATTTAAATTAAACTATATATCAAAATTTTAAAAACAATTTTTATAATAAAAATTAAATATAAAATTAAACTATATATACTCATAATCATAATATTATAAATTATCAAATAAACAAAATAATTCAATCAAAATAGAGAAAATTTTTTTTATTAAAATAAAACTGTATTATGACTGGGAAGACGTACCGTCGTTAGTTCAGAATTGTAAAAATTTCATCTGCGACGGTGAAATCCAACCGTCGTCCTCAAAATTTCATCTTCCCGCAAATTCTTTCCACGTATTTTTCACTTCTTTTTAAGAATTTGCCGCTCACGTCCTTGGAGAAAGATGAAAACTGACCTTTTTCTCAACCGTGACGCTGTCATTGCGAATTACCGTCAAAGCAACCACCATCAATTCGAATCTTTACAGGTTTGTCTTCTCAAACCCTGAATCGGATCCAGGTTTGTCTTCTCTATTGTGCTTGTTGTTTGATTGAGTCCTTTCCTTGTTTAGGAGTTTAAACTATATTTTTGATACATTGTTTATAATTCAGAACAGGCATCATAATATACTTGCAATTTAAATCGAAATATCGAGTTGTGTTATTTTAGACTAGATCTTCTATAGAATTTTTTTGAGAAAGATATAATTGTTCATAGTAGCCAAATTAGTGTTGAGATATAAAAATGCTAAAGTGAGAATCACTGAATTCAACTACATCACAATGTTGAAATAACGCCTTCCTTGGTTATCCCAAACTCCCTGTATATTTTTCATCCTGGAGCATTAAGTAGTAAGCTCCACAAAACAAAACACTGCCAATTCATGTGGTGTGATATTGAGCCTGATGAAAAACGAATGGATATGGATTCAGCAGTTGCAGATGATGATAATGAACGTTCTGCAGAGAATTTTGGTAGAAAAGAGGTTATTGGCTCTGGTTCATTAGCTCACCCAGATTTACCAATTCCTGTAAAAGATAACGGAGATCTGAAAACATGTGATTTTAATCTTGAAAGAAAGAAGTCTGTAGTTGCTGCGGAGTTGGATGTGGGCAATGCTAATCCATCCCCAGTTGCTTGTGGATCTGATGTGAATGTAAAACTGGACGTTGATTTAAATGAGGGATACCCTGTTGAGGATGTAGTCTAGGGTGATATTGTTAGACCAGAAGAACCTATTAGTTCATCTGCAGTTCATGCTCCTTGCCCTTTGCCTTTTTTGATTCCGTCCCTCTCTGGGGCCTTCCATGCTTCAATTACAGTGGCTTCTGCTGCCAAAGGACCGGTTGTTCCGCCAGAAAATCCATTGCGAAGTAAGGGGGAACTTGGATGGAAAGGGTCAGCTGCTACAAGTACATTCCGGCCAGCTGAACCTAGGAAAAATGCTGAGATGCCATCAAATACTGTTGATATTCCATCGGTTGACGCCACTTCAGTCAAACCAGACCGCACTCCCTTAGATTTTGATTTAAATGTGGCAGATGAAATCAGTTTTGAGGATGTTGCTTATCGAGGTTCCTTAGAGTCTGGTGCTCGTGACCGCAGCTCTGTGGGATTTGATCTTGATCTAAACAGGTTGGACGAGACTCCTGAAATTGGATCTTTCTCTATGGTTAAAATGGATATTCCTTTACCAAGTAAACAACCTTCATTGTCCACTGGGTTATCTAATGGTGGAAGTGTCTCAAGAGACTTCGATTTAAATAATGGGCCAGGCCTTGATGAAGTTAGCACTGAAATCCCCACTCGTACTCTGCAGATGAAAAGTACTATCCCATTTTCAAGTTCTGTTCATGGCACCAGAACAAATAACACAGAATTTGGGAATTATTCTTCATGATTTCCTCCCGACAATTCGTATTCTGCAATTACTGTCCCACCACTTCTGACTGGTAGGGGGGAGCAAAGTTATGTTGGCGGTTCTGGGGCACAGCAGATCTTAGGTTCAACAGGTAGCACACCTTTTTGTCCTGAAATGTACAGAGGGCCAATGCTCTCATCCTCCCCAGCTGTTGCATATCCACCTTCCACGCCCTTTCCATATCCAGGATTTCCATTTGAAACTAATTTTCCGTTATCTTCAAATGCTTTTTCTGGCTGTTCAACACCGTTTATGGATTCAACAACTGTGGGCGGACTTTGCTTTCCTATGATGCCCTCGCAGCCTATTGGGCCTGGTGTTGTTGTCTCATCCACAGATCCCCATCCCTATGGTCTTCCAGGTGGTACAAGTAACGTAATTCCCGACAACAGAAAATGGGGTAGTCAGAGTCTGGATCTTAATTCAGGCCCTGGTGTTACAGATACTGAGCGCAGAGATGGCAGGCTACCTTCAGGATTGAGACAGATGCCTGTTCCAAGTCAACAACAGGCCTTGATGGAGGATAACTTGAAGATGTTTCAGATGGCCGGTGCATTAAAAAGAAAGGAACCTGATGGTGGTTGGGATGGAACTGATAGATTCAGTTACAAACATCCAGTGTGCCTAGCATAGCATAGCCATAGTTTCTTGTATAGGCAGCACCAATCCAATCCATGATCCCCGTTTCAGCTTCTTGAGTTGCAACTTTTTCCTTGTTGATCGAACCAACACAAGGCTTTTGAATGCCAAACTTTGGAGCCACAATCTTATAGGCCTTACATGGTATATGCCAGAAAATAATCTCAGGAACCCTGCCATACAAAACATATTGTTACCAAGATAACAAAATAAGAAAGAAACTTCTATCACCTATTTTCAACATATTTTACTTCACAAACTTAAATAACAAACAAGGGATAATGAAGCCATTCTGCAGAAACCATTCTTGCCGGCGAAGTTGCTTGATCCCAATACAAACTTGCATTTGCAATCATAATCTTGTTAGCCGTAATGACATCTCCAAGATATATCAGTTTTTAAGGATTTAAAAAGCAATCACAGTTGGGAAGGTTTTCTCGATTTCGTTCGGTAGAGGTGTCACGACATAGATTGGGGTTGTTGTGAATTAATATAAAGATGGTTATAACGGTATCAGTATTGTCGGCAACTGTCAATATAGTTTCGTCGCTGCCATTTTTGCGGCCGCACACTGTTTTTTAAAATCTTGTCATTATCTGGTAATCACGTTGAATGAATTCCATGGATAGAATGTGTAGAAAGAAATAATAATAAAAATCCATGTGGTTATTATTAATTTTGATGTTAGTTTATTTTTGTCTGTTAATTGCAGGTGCTTATTCCATTTATGATGGACCTGCTCTTTCACACGGTCCTTATCTTTGAACTGTGACACTGTTCTTTTCCTCAATTATTCTTCTTTCAATCAAAGCTTATGTTTCTCTGTAAATTCCCAAATTGAAGCTGAAGCTTTAGTAGCTTCTTTAAAAAGGCAAATACTTCATTTGAAGAAATCATGGGGAAATGCGGTCTTATTTCTTTCGTCTATTGTTTTTGCCTGGCCATACTATTGTTGCTTACAAAACCGGTTGTAGAGAATTGAGAAAGCTCTTATTTCATCGCGTTCACCCTGAATCTCTAAGTTTGGAATTGTTATATTCAGTTTTTGTAATTTCTCAGGCTGGTTTATATGTTGCTTCATTGGTTTAACTTGTTTTCAATATAAAACTGTTGTGATATTACAAGCTAGCTTAAAGAAAATTTCTGAAATTGTCAAAACTTTTTCTTGGTGGCTCATACAAGTTAAAGCCACATAAGTTTATTTATGCTTTTTTAACACATTTATGTTTTACTTAAATAGGCCATATCATGTAAGTATACTTTTTGCGGCTATCCAAAGGTCCCACGTTCTCCTACTTCTTCCAGAGGCATAACTTCTTTAAGTGACAGTGAAATAAGGCGGAGACCTTTTGGGACTTCTCGTGACAAAGAATTACTGGCCAGATTACTTGAAGACTCACACAACTTTTTCGTTACATGTCAATGACTTCCTCTTCATTTCAAGCTCAGCTTGCCTGGTTCACCTTCACATACTTTGTCATCAACATCTTGTATTACACTAAATTCTAGTTACTACACTTTATCTACGGATGGAGGGTTGGAAAAATAGTGTTATAACTATTATTGTAGTATTCAAAAAAATGGTAATGTATTTTCACATTTTGCTACATTATAGCACTATAGCACACCACTAAAGCCGATATTGAACAACACTCACCATTGTTAACTGAAGTTATTACTGAACCTATTACCATTTATACTGACTATCCAGGAAATGAGGCGTCATGCAGGGCGTATGGGTTTCTTATGTGAGAACAAAGTTCTCTCATGGTCAAAAGATGATTTTAGCTTTTCATATGCAGTAAAACTTCTGATTATTTTTTTTACTCTTATCTTTGTAGCTTCTTAAGTGGTTGAAAGATTATATCTTATTAGCTTTTTACCAATGTTACCTGCACTTAGGTCTCCTTAAGTCATATAAACTGAGGTGTTCTCTTAGAATCTGCATTTGCGCATGATTTTGATCAAAGAGAGATGTTCTACATATATCTTTCTCTTGGAGATTTTCAAAATAAAAATAATAAGGTTTGTACACTAACTCTAAACATGGAGTGTGTTTTAAATTGTTTTTTTTAATTCTCACTTCTAATCTTACTTGATATTTAGGTACTCAAAAAGGAAATAATATTCATCAATTGGTCTTAAGGCTGCCCGTGTCTTTAGGTACTCCTGAAATTCTTTTTCTGAACGCTATGATCATGAGAGTGCTGAATGTAGCCTGAATGCTACTTCTGTACCTGCAAAACAAAAGTGGGAAAAAGGTCGCCCGACCCCCCAGGGAAAAATAAATGCCGGGGTCTCTGACACTCGCCGTTCATTGTTGTGCCCCTTAAGATGGAACTTGAGTCACGAGGTTGCCTTGATCCCCTGTCAAAAATAAATTCTATGCAATGCAGATGCTAGAACACTGTAATGAAACGTGAACCAGATAAAGAAAAGGTTTGTCAAATTTTGGGGTACAACAGCTGCCCCTATTCAAGCGACTTGGACCTGAATGAGTGAAAAGCGAACGACTTTCAAACAACCAAGGTAAAAGGTGGTTGAATGCCGAAGAACCCGGAAATTTGTCAACCGTGGGAAATAAAGCTGCGACAACAATCCGACGATAACTGTACTGGTCTCAAAAATACTCCGCTGGGGAAATACGAAACAACGTCAAGGATAACACTATGGTCTGGATACCGCTTTAGCTAGAAGTGACATTTTATGCCAGAGTCTGGATACTCAAAGGAAATAAACTGGAGCCTGGATGCTCAGAGGAATAAACTGGAGCCTGGATGCTAAAGGAAACTTTGAGCCTGGATGCTCGGGGTGACTGGAGCCTGGATACTCGGCAATAAGTCTGAGTCTGAATGCTTGGTGATAACTCTGAGTCTGGATACTCGATAATCGGAACCTGGATGCTCGGTAACCGCCTGAGTCCGGACGCTCAGTAATCGGAGCCTGGACGCTCAAAATAAATCGGAGCCTGGACGCTCGATGCAGATGATCTGAGTCTGGATACTTGGTAAACGGAGCCTGAACGCTCGATGCGCTTCGGAGCCTGGATGCTCAATGCAAACCTGAGTCTGGACACTCGGTGGCAAATTTGAGCCTGGATACTCAGTAATCGGAGCTTGGACGCTCGAAGTGATTGGCGATATATTCATCAAGATCTGGATATCCTACGAGTTCAAGTCGAACGACGTTACTGGGAAACGATGTGAGCTGCGGTCTGGGTACCACACGAGCTGAGAGAAATCATTAGGTGTCGAGGTCTGGATACCACATGGCGACTGAAGATAATAACAATTACCGTGATCTGGATATCATGGAGCATAGGATGAACTAACACGGTCTGGATACCCTATCTGCCTTTGTTGGAGTCTGGATACTCAACGGAATGAGCGTACACCATGGTCTGGATACCTTAGGGCACAAAGGCACAAATGCACCTATCGTGATCTGGACATCACTAGGAAACTCAATCGGAGTCCGCATACTTGACGGACGAAGCAATTCGGTAACCATCATGGTCTAGATACCATTCGAACAAAGATGACCAACTGTCGGGGAAAATAATAAGTCGGGTCTGGATACCACACGGGCTGACGGAAACATATCACATTGTCATGGCCTGGACACCACATGGTGCTAAAGGCGAAATCATCAACCGATGTTCAATGACGCCGCCAGGGAGGAACGTAAGCCAGGTTTGGATACCATGCGGGCTAACGATAAATTTTATGGTCTGGATACCATTCTTCAAGTTGCTACGGTGTAGATACTATATCGGTGCAAATATCAATCAATCATCTGTTGGAGACATTCCTGTAAGCAAATAGGTAACAACCTGGTCCATGTTTCACATGCAAATGTTTTAAAAATGGCGTGATGCTCCACACAAGGTGGAAATGCTACGCGTTTTTAGGTTGATGCTATGCGTGCGTGCAGATGCACCGGAACTGACACAACAAAATAAATGCTAAGGATACAGAAATCATCCTGGCAGGGAAAGGAGATAACCCTGCAGGGGATAGTTACTCATGCCAATAGCGATTGGGCTTTCCCCTGCCAGCTTCTCAACTAGGGATAAAATTCGTACAAGAACGAGGGAATCAACTCTGCTGGAGACCTCAGTCTGTGCTACTGAAAGCTACATACCTATCAATGAACTAACAAGGGGCGAAGAGCATCGGGCCACTGCTGGGGGAAACTCTGCATCTACTCTGTGGGGTACACCCGAACCTCGATTCGTTGGGGAGTAAGCGCATACTTGTACTCTACAGGGATTAAATGCGCACTGGAAAACTACCGGGGGGCAAACGGACATACCGCGTACAAATCTACTGGGATAGAGACACATTTCGACTGCTGGAGAACCCCACTGCCCGGGAAATAGACGGATCCATTCGTATCTTCCTGGAAATTTGCCCCACGGGTAACAATCTACAAGTGACAAAGCAAATAGGACGTCCTATACAACAGGGCTATCTTGGTCATCATCCGTGACATTATTCAATTAATATCAAAGTTTTAACAACTATCGGCCAAGGTCTACAAGTTTATGTATGCAAGTTCATCAAAAACAACAGGCGTTTTTCACAAACAAAACAGTAAAAGTTAAAACAAGGCACACAGACAAGTACTGAATAGCATATGTTTATTGATGGATGGCTTGTAAATAGGCGAAGTTTTACAATCGATGAAACTCCTGAAAAGAGGAAGATGCGCAAAAATACAGATATGCATAAAGGAGAATACAAAAGTGGTGCACACTGTCGCTTCCGCGAAAATAAGGTGTCGGCAAAACAGAAGAGTCGCCACCTTATTTATCCCTCAGAGCGGGAAAGGAAACGATCGGAAAAACCTGACGAAAAAGGGTAAGACAAGGTCATCGCAACCGTTGTCTGGGTTCGGGAGTCGGTTACGCAAGGGGAAGGTATTAGCACCCCTCACGTCCGTCGTACTCGACGGGATCCACGCTTGTTGTGTTTACTGGAAGAGTTGGTTTA